AAGGATGCCTCGGAGCCAATCAGCAACTTCCACGTGTCACGACCCAGTGACGTGTCACGATATTGCCCGTCAGCGATCAGTGAGTGCAAAGAGCTGGCTTGCTTTTTGATGAGAATGAACCTGGACAGGTTGCCGATCTTCATCCCTAGACAAATCTTGGAGAATGATGTGTTCCCGTACGTCGGTAGCTTGGTCTCTTGTAAGTCAAAACCAGTCTCCCCTCCTTGAGGATTGAAGTCATCCATGTTACTCCAGAGTTGCGAATCAAAGTGGAAGGTTGACTATGTAGATGGAAAAGTTTAAATGAGTTGAATGACGATAGAATTCGTATGCCAATAACAACTAAAACAAGAAGAATAAACGAATATGAGAGACGAGATACCTTGTTGCCGTCCATTTTCATTACCATTGTCCATCCACCGCACCCGCAGCCCTCAAGGTCATCTGTCATGTGACAGTAAACCATGACCTTTCCGTGATCCACCTGAAGTGAATAGGCTCTGTTTTCCTGTGAACTGAAGTAAATTCGTATTAATATACGTGTTAGCTACTTGTTTCACATATCTAATGATTTAGATTTGATTACGTGGAGTAATAAATATGTTCGAATTAACTGATCGGTAGGGCTCGAGATCATGACGTACGGACCGGGCTTTGCTCTTTCTTTTTCTTCATTTCTTCAAGTAGCTCACAGTGCGTAGGAACGTGCGGCAATTTTCCAGCCAGAGTTATACGGGGATTTTATGTCAAATGTTTTCACATGTTGAGTTTACTTATTACACAACAAGGCTCTTCAAGGTCTCGTAGGTAGACCTCATACTTTAGAACTGACGAACATATTGGCAAAATAAGTGACTATGCGCTCATCGTGGCAACTTTCATGATATTTTGCAAGACAAAAATGATCTTTAATTGTAAAAACAGATGTAATGTTAAACTCTACTTTACCTTTACTTCAAAATGACCAGTTTTCTCTGTTCGTATGGGACCTTGGTTCTACTGTACTGTTGTATTTCTACCTTTACACCTGGAGACTAACCAACCTTTAAAAAATTATTAATACTGATGTACCTTTGACTTTTATAAATTTCTGCACAGGATTGAAACGAACCTGAAATAAGATAAAGTACACAATTAGAAAGGTCTTAAGCCTATTGTTGAGGTATATTTGTATGAATACGTACCCTAATTTGATAATGCTCATGCCTTTAACAAGTTTATTAAAATATGTAACATGAATCTTATTAAAATAAATTAAAAAAATGGACAAAATTTCAGAGTCTTATTCTCACGGTACAACCATCGCTCTTGGTTGTGAGGACATTTGTGATCGATAACCTCCATGTTGGATCGATTGGATCAGCACTCGAGCTATGTTATCACCTAACTCATACTATGAAACTTTTACTTTCGCGCGTAAATCCCTCTCCATGGTATTCTGGTTTGCATGCACTGATGCGCTCTTGAGCATGCAGGATATCATCTACAGCTATTTAGACGTGCAAGACTGCAAAGCCGTCCGAGTATTTGCAATGGATTTTAGTAAAGCATTTGACTGTGTCAATCATGAACTCTTGTCAT